GCTCGTTTTGATCGACTTTAACATACCCGTAAGGATTCCCAGGAAACAAGTGCCTCTCTTTCGCTCTAAATAGATTAGTCCGCACACACAAATATATATAATTATATATATATATATATATATATATATATATATATATATATATATATATATATATATATATATATATATATATATATATAAATATATATATCGTTAAAAAAGCGAATTGACATCTTGCATTATCACTGTGTGTAATCTATGCATATAATAAAATTCTAACTAAGTCAAATCTGTACATTAAATATTTTTTAGAAAATCTTATTAAAATTGACATTATTATCTATACAGAGGTCGAATCTATAGTTTTTAGAATTTTTGTCTGTCTGTCTGTCTGTTACCGCATCACAGAAAAACTACTGGACGGATTTTGATGAAATTTGGTATGGTCATAGCTGATTATCCGGGTCAACTAATATACTAATACGAGTATACTAATATATAAAACATAAGAATTTGGTTTTGGTCATATGAACGCGGGCGGAGCCGCGGGCAATGCTAGTTGTATATATTTTTACTGTTCTTTTAATGTTGTACTAATATAATAGCATGTTATAATTACCTGTAATTAAAAGTGCAATCATCATGTTTTTATTTTAATGATATTTTTTTTATTTGTAATTTATTGTAACTTTTGTTGGTAATTTTAATAAATAAATAAATAGGATTTTATTAATTATGAATTCAAATGGTGCTCCCACATATGAGTTAAAAAACGGGCGACAGCACGGTTTGCAGAATGATTATGAAATGGTAGGAAATGTTCTACAACATGCTTAATCAGTGTGGAAGCTTTGAAAACATCTAACTATTGTTAACATGTTAGTTAACATGTAACTGAATGTTAAAAAAGTTCTCGTGTTAAAAAATGTTAAGTAATCTTATCCATAATCCACATTACATTTTTGACTGCTGTGTGGACGCACCATAATATTCACATAGATATTTCCCATCTACCTTTCTTTTTTTACTAGATATACAAAAGAAGGTTTAAAAAAAAAACAAATAATCGTGTTCATTTTCCACTTTATTTCCACAAGATCAAGAACATCAACAAATCTCTTAATAATTACATTAACGAAGGTCTACAGTACAGCTAGAGGTAGCTGCGACATATTTACAATTAAGCTCTTTGGCCTGTACAAAAAATATACACAAAAAAAAACATTAAAAAAATAATTTGAATAAACTCGCAAATCAATGTCAAGTAACGAATTTAAAATTATTAATAAAATTTGAACAAACTATTCGAAAATAGCGTGAAAATAATATACGTGCGCTAAAGCGTGTGCTACGTTGTACAATACTGCCGACGGTATAACCACAGTGTACTAATCCATACAGCCGTCTAACGAAGGCCTCTAGATAGAGCAAAAGTGCGGAGTTCGCCCGACTATCAAACTTACTTTTATATACTAATCGGGAAACGGTTTTAGGGTTGAAAACTATCTTTTCGAATTTTCTACATTAATCATGATCACCCTGTGACCATTATTGCTGTAAATCATTCGAAACGTCGGGAACAAAAAAATCAAAATAAATCCGATACGATTGTTTTATTTAAAACGTCAAATATTCGCGTAAATCCAAGAAATTATTACCGGCATAACTGTAACTTTTGACAACCCTTAAAACATTGGTATTTTCGACAACCCTAAAATTTGACAGCATATCCGTTAAAGCGTTCGATTACTGTATGGATTTTTATACTGTAGTATTAGTTTAGACGCTACCTCCAAAACAAGGTAATACAAAAATCGACCCAACCACGAGTGCAATAAGACAGAAATTACAATACTCCATCCAATTTACTTTGAACGATCTACAAACAAAATGCACGATTGTATTTGAAAATTCTATTCGCATTTTTATAAAGTACCGAGTATATCTAGACAATGGTTATAGGCCGAGAGATGTTGTACGTCGGGACGACCGCGGCTCCTGGCCTATAACGGGGCTTGTATCGTATATCATAGAACAAAGTTACTTTAAATTCATTTTTAAACATTTTTAAACATTTAAATCAAAGTAAAAAAAGACTCAAAATCACTTGAAAACTGATATTCCACATTGTGTATCTAGCTAGTACTTTTATGATCGATGTTTAAAAGAGAAAAAATAAAACTGACTAACAATTCACAAAAACACATCCAAACTTTCTGATTTCCAAATAGACACAACCACTAATATCTAATTGTCGTCCTATCACTATTATAAATGTGAGTTTGTAAAGATGTTTATCGATTACGCGTGAACCAATTTAAACGAAACTTTTCCAACGTATAGATCGCATCATGGACTAAAAGATGATACATACAATTATATCCCGGAACGCGTTACTATTAAATAAGAGTAACATTTAATATTATTTTACTAAAACTTTAATTCTAAATCAATCAATAGCCAGATCTGCCTGGAAACGTTGTAAAAAAAACCAAATTGTCAAAACACACAGACAAAAATATTTCACACCAATATTATATATGCGAAAAATTCTGCTTATATGTTTATTACTTCATATTTGCCTAAAGACAGACAGAAACTAATGAAATTCATTTATTTAAGTGGAGATTAAAGAAAATTTTCTATAAAAAAATATATTTTATATTAACTGTGACGTTGTGTTATGTTTTAATTAAATGCAACAATATTATTATAAAAATCAAATGTATACTAAACCCAAGTTAGCATATTTATACGTTATAAATTGTTTGATTTGAATAACTTCTTCATATTATAACGCACGTACGTACGTACAACGCGGGCAAATCCGCGGGGAATAACTAGATTTAATAAATTAAATATAACTTTGTTCTAAATACACGGTATACAGCGTAAACTACGTAACTACGTAGAGCAGGCACAGAAGGGTTCAGTACGTTTGGCTTAATACGGAAAACCTTAGGAATATCACATCCACTATAAACCCTTGGGTCTAAAATCATTAATTTAGTATTGGAATGTTTATCATCTTGGTTTGAAGAAAATAAATACATCATTTAAATATCGATATTTTGATTAATATATATTAATAATAATAATCAATTAAAATTTAACAAAAAAAAATCATTAAGTCATATATATATATATATATATATATATATAATTGAATTTTGAATAATAATAATAATCATTAATTATATATAATATGTACGTACATTACCAAATAAAACTTCTGTTATTGTTTTTAAAACATATTTCTTTAAAGACGAACTAACCAAGACCGCCTCTACACAGCACCCAAGGGAATAAAGGTAAAAGCGACAATAATTACTTCTAAACCATTATACTAAATTATCCTACGAATAGCGTTGAGCTGAGATCTTGTATACTAGTTCAATAATTTACGTTAAATCTAATAAAAATTTATTTATATCTACGTAATAATCGATACTCTATCGAATTGTAGTGTTCAAATTTGTTTGCAAGTGGAAAATATAGGGGAAAATCGATGTTTAAAATTTCTTATGTGATGCGATTGATTGAAACTGTGAATCGATTGTATTACAGTATTACCATTTCGATAGAATATCGATAGAAATATCGACAAATTCGTAACGTTCCATTGTTACATAAACATTTTGTGATGCGTTTCAAAAGTAATTCACTAAATACATTATAAATTGTGATAAACATCATGACTGAAAAGTACATATCGTAATAATTTCAATTCCCTTACAGTTTTATGTAATATTATGTTATTAGCTGCAACACTTTCTGATATTTACGAGATATCGAATATAGAAAACGATTCAATTTATCGATAAAAACACATCACTAATGGTGAATACGATTATTTTGTTTGTGCAAATATTTATTATCGTAGAGGGGAAAGCTCTATGAAGAGTTATAATAGTGTTCGTTTGTTTGTTAATGGAAGAAAACAGCCTATATAGTGGCTGGAACACCTATATACAAAAGGCGAAATAAGTTCAATAATTCATGAGTTGCGAACGAACAGACTTACATACCGTGTCATTACTGGGAACGTGTGTATATATCTAAACAATATTTTTCTATAAAATTGACAGATACAAAAACTTTTTTTACAAGTCAAAATCATTCATACTGGACTTTGATAAAACATGGACTATCCTTCGTATCAAATATTAAGTCGCAATAAGATATTTATAATATATTATTTGTTTCCAAAATCCAAATATGTAATTTTAAATTAAATTCAAACATAGAATACAATTTTATATAAAAAAAAAATCAAATCACCTAAACCAAACTTAAATAATTTCGTGAGCACCAAAAGTCATAGATTAAAAAAAATTAGCACTTTAAAACATAAAACAATAGCACCGAAGTACTATTAAAACGAAAGTGACAATTATTATTAATAATTTGTTTATATTTTTACTCTGTGTAAAACCAAAATTGTCTTTATTTTTTTTATTACCCTTCACTAGCAACTTAATACCACAGACTAAAAACATAGAAAGTTCCGACTACATACATATATATTTTTAATCCAGAATAAAATTTACACAGATAAAAATTATATATCATCACTATTAAAAAAAACATTATCACTAAATATTATTAATAATTATTTGACAAGTGTCATAAATTACAAATTGTTTACGTCAATGTCAGGGAAGTACAGTATACTATTTTGAAATTCGAATTAGCTGCTCGAATGGCAGATTAAAAATAAATAATAATCAATAACAAATGTTTCACAACATTCAGCCTTAAGTAAATTAGCTCATAATAATCGTATCGTAATCGGTGATTCTGGTAACTACATATCGGTTTAAAGAACATAATAATAATAATAATTAATATATTACGCAAATACAATTCACTATTCTAATAGCAGAATGAAAAATAAAAGAATCTGTAGCATAAAAAAAAAACGTTATTATTAAACTCCATACATAGACCGACGAACAATCGTGCACAAAAACAATCTATACATATATTTATATATATTATAAATATAAAAAAAATTACACAATACTTCCGCACTTGCCGTTCGTTAGAGACAAATTCGGTCCTAAAGGCCTCCCTAAGGTTTGACTAAAGGAATCGAACCCATTATTCATGTACTGATTATTCTGTAGCCCAATTAATATTTCGACTAGAGCATTTGAAGCGCCTTGAGCATTTAGTAGCTCGAATATGATGCAATTGCATTCCGGTTCCGGTATTTTGTTTGATCCGGTTCCGGAGCTAGTTGATCCGGTTCCGGAACTGGTTGATCCGGTTCCGGAGCTGGTTGATCCTGTTCCGGTAGAGATGGGGGGGTTGGGGTGGAGGGGGCAGGTTATTTGTAGGTTTTTAGGGTATTGGGTGGGTATACCTGAGAGGTGGTTCGCTGCGGCGCGCGCGTAGAATACGCACGTGTGACCGTCTGCATCGGGGAAGTTTGGGTTGCCGTTATGCTGTGATTTAATAAATAAATATTAATATAATATCATCAAATTTAATAAATTAATTATTTACCATTGTAAAAAAATAAATTTGATGTAAATTTATAATACAATTCATAATGATTGCACGTTTCGCAGCAGCCAGCGTTACGGTTATCACTTTACAACGAACGTCTTTACATTGTACAACGAATTTATACATATGTAGATGATCTACAGATGTATAAATTCGTTATTTGTTACAATATGTAGTAGATGTATCTACTCTGTACATATAACGATATAAAACACACAATCGCAAGAAAATTTATACATACCTACTTCCGGTTCACACCAATCACGCGCTTATAACATATTTGTGAGTGTAAGTGTATGTCCACAAAATAAAATTGAAGTGTCTGTTTGTAATGTCGAAATAACAGGGTTTTACTAAATGCAAATGAAATTATATAGGGCACTATACATTTTTTTAAGGTTAAAAACCTAATTTTTGTCTGTGTGTCTGTTTGTTCCGGGTAATCTTTGAAATGGTCGGACTGGTTTTAATGGACTTTCACTGGAAGATAGCTGATATTATTTATTTATTAGTTATAGGGTGGTAACATAGGCTACTTTTATTTTAGAAAAAGAATTAGGGTTTCGCTCAAAAAAAATAAAATGTACGAGTCGCTAGTGTATATGTGAAGATATGTTTGTAGATGTGTATGTATATAAGAATGTGCGTATACATCACACACGGTATAATAATACCTTGTGTCAACTTACCCATATGAGCAGCTGCGCGGCGGCCAGGTGTCCGGCCGCGGCCGCCGCCCGCAGCGCCAGCGCGCGCTCGTGCGGCGCGGGCGCGCGCGGCGGCGGCGCGGCCAGCAGGCGCGCCAGCGACGCGACCACCCCGCGCGCCGCCGCCGCGCGCAGCGCCTCGCCCCCCGCGCCCCCCGCCGCCCCCGCGCCCGCCGCCGGCTCGCACGACAGGAACGCGCGACGCTCGTACTTCAGACGTATCCAGCTAGAAACAATAAATATAATACTCAAGACTAAGGGGAAAAAATGGGCGATGGTAGAAGTAAAAAAGTTTCTTCGTCAACTTGTTCCCATCTTTTTAGCTTACTTTTAAAAAATAATAACTGAGTGGTTATTTACTATTGCCATGGGGTCTCATCACGAACAAAGAATACTAGTATATAACTCACCGTTCCTTCTCTTCCCGGGTAGAGGCGGCGATGGGCTTGATGTGGCCGCGCAGGTCCGCCTCCCAAATGGAATTGGCCAATGAATTACCCATCGTCACCATCACACTCACGTGACCCAAACTGAGGAAAAAATATAACGAACATATATAAATTTGAAATATTTATATGTATGGTTACTTTGTTTTCTTTAACGTGATTTTTGTACTTATCTGTACATAACATACATTAGGTACAGTGACATATTGCAAGTATTTAGTCGAACAAAATATTTTTTTGTGGTTTTGACTATTTTAAATATTATAAAACATAATAAAAAAAACTATTTATTTAATATGCAAAATTGCATTATTAGTCTAACATCCCATTCATTTTAATCAAATTAAAAACCACTGTCTCTATAATTTACAAGGGCAATGTCTTAGGGTCCATGCACACTATATAAAAGCCATAAACGCTCATCATGAAAGTCAATCACCACATATACCCTGCGCTAAAAACTAAAAAAATATCATTGTACCTTGATACCTACAATATTTGTCAATTTAAATTAAATATTATGAAGTAGTTTGGTACCATATTATTGTAATTTTGAAAATCATTGTATATATATGTTTGTGGGTAGGCACTTTCTGTAACAAGTATATTATAATGACCTTTGAGACGTCTAAAACCTTAGTCTCTCCCGTGACCACGATTGCTGTAAAGCATTCAAAACGTCGGGAACCAAAAATCAAAATAAATACGAGAAAAGAACCAAAAATATGGTTTATTTAAAATCTTAATAACTGATTCTGCGACCACTTTACTATTAATAACAATTAACTTTCATACATAACATAAAGAATACTTACGGCCACTCATCCAAATCTAAAGACCGCACCCTCGATATGTGGGAACCGAGATTCCTGTGTATTCCAGAACATTCGATACATATTAACACTCCCAAGTTCAAACTCGCCCAATCAGGATCTAGAATGAAAAGTAACAATATGATCTATTTATTTATTTTAAGACTATATTTTCAAATTTAAACATAAGATAACATTTTAAACTTCTGTTTGTGATATATTTGATTAGATTTAGCTCCGATATTTTTTATTTTCTTGTTAAAAAGGTTTTTTGTATATACTATGTACTATAACTAAATATATTAACTAAAAAAATCTAAATTATCAAGAAAATTGTGTATGTACTTTAAAATCTTAAACTACTACAATAATAATGAAATATTGTTACTGTTTTGTGCATTACGGTTCAATATTGTACGATGCAGCGGGTGAATATTGATAATACGTGTTGTCTTGACAATATCTTTAATGAGACTAAACAAATAGCATATACCATATTCATTCATTCACAACCTTTATAAAGTATCGAACATTCCGCCCACCAAAGCGTATACAACGATTTACATTTTCATCAACATTTTATTCAATGAATCAACATTTTAACTAGTGGACTGTATATAGATGTTTCCAATGAATTACAAACAACATTGCATAACTGAATCTCTAAATTTCGAAATCTTATACATCTAAAAAGAACATTACAAACTACATTAGCTAAATAAATTACATTATTGAACTGTAGTAGCGAAAATACATTTTTTTTTTTTTAAATAGAACATTAATAAAATATAAATTTATTGTAGTGATTGACATTCGCGTGAACTAAATTCATCATAATAATGCCTTTAGATATTTTAGATTTCAAATTATTAAATCAAGTTAGAATTCATCTTTAGTTAAGTTTGGTCTTTTATTTCTTTAGGAAGAATTATAAGTTTGGATAGAGGTCTCTTCAAAATATTATTGCCTTTACACTGGACGGATACAACGCGAACTAAACTGTCTGATCCTGGGTGCACATCTTTTACACGTCCTAATAACCATTTTGCTGGTGGCAAATCGTCTTCTTTGATAATAACAATGTCTCCGATATTCGGTGACGGTATCTCAGTTTGCCATTTATAGCGTTGCTGCATAGTGTTCAAGTATTCTAACCTCCATCGACGCCAAAAATCTTGTGTCATCCTTTGTATCATCTGCCATCTGCTGAGTAGATTAATGTTCCTCAATTCATAATTTACATCAGGCACAGTGATTAAGGGTTCTCCTATCAGAAAGTGCCCTGGTGTAAGTGGATTTAGCGTTTCGACAGTATCATCAAGTTGACACAATGGACGCGAATTTAAGCATGCTTCTATCTGCGCCAATAGTGTAGCCATCTCTTCATAAGTCAATTTTGTAGATTTGTTCACTCGTACTAAATGTCTCTTAACTGATTGTATGCCTGCCTCCCATAAACCGCCATAATTCGGCATTCTCGGAGGGGTAAAGTGCCACGTCGTCCCATCATTGGCCAATAATTCTGCAATTTCCTCTGTGATGTTGGCTTTGCCCTTTTCGAAAAGTATTTTAAGCTCTTTAGCGGCACCGATAAAGTTAGTCCCATTGTCACTCCATAAATGTAGACAAGGTCCTCTCCTAGCAACAAATCTGCGAAATGATGCAATGAAAGCTTGTGCTGTGAGATCCGTTACAGCTTCTAAATGAATAGCGCGAGTCGCCATGCAAACAAACAAACAGATATATGCCTTTGTTGCATGGTGACCACGCCCCTTGGATGTCCTAATGTATATAGGACCAGCATAGTCAACGCCCGTGTTTAACCCATTTGGACCCAAATACAAACTAACACAAAAATTTTGAAAACACTTTTATTTATTTATCAATTGGATGCTAAAGATAAATTTTACGAAAAAAAACTGAAAAAAATAATCTTCCTTCTATGAAAAAAAACACCGTCCTCAACTGGGGCCAATGGGCTCATGTGTGATAATTTTCAAAACATCCCGTTTCGATGCACAATGTTCTAACACATTTTTTACCTTGCCAACGTGCTTTCTTACGGCATATAACGCATCGTAGCTTTCTTGGTAAATTTCCATGAAAGTGTCCAACACCATTTTGACTCATATTTGGTACTGATGAAGGAAGTGTACGACATCGTCCATTCTTCATTTGTTCATTCGTTGGTCTTTCAGTGCCTTCAGTCCTCAAATAATATCGGTCTATGGATCGAAGAAACTGGAGCTGGTCCATTTATCTTCCATGGCCAGAACGTGAAGACGCCAGGCATTCGCTACAGTCACATACAATATAAACGTAAACGAAACCCACCAGCATTTTTCGCCTCGTATGGCAGTTCTATACACAGCAACCAACTGATCTGCCTTATGAACTCCTAATATGCCTTTGTTATAATTTTGAAATACAAAGGGAATGCTTACATCTATCTTTCTCCTGTCGGTCAATATTTTGAGGTCACTAACATTTATTGGAAGTCGTGATTGTTATTTTGTACGGCAAACAACTGTGTATTCAGAATATTCATGTCCATGATCTCGACACCATTTTTTTTCAGAAATGATGCTAGGAATTTGGTCTTTTAGTTCGTTTATAAGGGCTTCCTTTAGGTTTCGCACACTACTCACTGCTTAGGGCTTGTCAACGTACGAATCGTCACATTTACGCCAAGTTGGATTCTGCTCTACTATTCTACGTATTTCTAAGGTTCGTCTTCGTGCTGTCCCATTCAACGACATTTCTATTTCCAAATATCTCACTTCACGCATCTAACTCTTCCTGGTCTCTCTATCTCGCGGAATCGCATTTTGTAAGACATCATCTTCACCCCCTTCTTCTTTATATGTGATAATACTGGGGTCTAGGGGAATAGCCACTAGGTCAAAGCTGACGTCGGGATCCCCTTCCTCATTCAATATATACTCAATGGCTTCTTCGAGCCCTAGAAAGTCAATTGAGCCGTTAAACGATCGTTTCGTCGTTATTTACGCCAAAACTAAGCCTGTCACAAATAAACGATAAATAACATCATATCAGCCCATTGGCCCTGTTTGGGAACACTACGCTAAAATAAAGCTATTATGGTCAATTTTCGATAAATACCTAATAAAATCTTAACAATTAATAGGAAAAACTATAGCCGAGTGAACAATATCAAAATATACGAGATTTTTTATTGTAAACACAATTATTTATGGCTTACTTTTAGTCAATTATCTTTTTACACAATGCAGTACATAAAACCATCAATTACAGCCACTTTAAGAAATATTTTCGAATATTATGTTATTTATCATGCGGATACACTCAATGACACAACACATTTACATCAAAACCAACAGTTAATAAAAAAAGTGAAAAGTTGAGGGTATCTAAAGAAATGGCCCCAATCAGGGCCAGCGGGCTTAAATGGGTTAAAAAGGCTCGATGCTCATTAACTCTTACGAAAGGAAGTTGTCCCATTTTCTGCGTTGAGATTTTTGCTTTGTCGACTATACAAACCTTACACGTTCTTATACATTTTTTAACTTCATTTTTTAAGTTGATAATCCAGTATTTACTTCGAATATATGCCATCATCAACTGAATACCACCATGGAGAGTCTTAATGTGCGCCTCCTTGACTAATAGTTTGGCAACATGAACCTTTGGCGGTATTATAATTGGATGTCTTGATGACTCAGTAATGTTTGCATTTTGCAATCGTCCCCCAACTCTTATCATCTCGTTCTTATCCAAGAAAGGAGAAAGTGTTACAAGGGAACTTCTTTTCTTTACCTTGCCTTCTTTATTAATGTCCTCTATATCCTTTTCGTATGCTTTCCTTTGATAATATTTTATACAATTCTTTAAAATAATTTCCATTTCATCTATCGTCAACCTTTTCTCAATGTTTCTTTTATCCTTTGCATTTAAAAATCTTCTGCAATATGCCAATACTCTTTTCATTTTAGATAAACTAGAAAATCTTTCCCATATCGGTGTTTCTTCTTCAAGTAAATATATGTTAAAATTTTTCTTTTCTAAATCAGTTCCAGGAATTTCAACCTTTGATCGTTCTATATATCTGTGATTTAACCACTCTGGCCCATTCCACCACAACCTTTTATCCTTTAAATCACTAGCCTTAACACCTCTTGTAGCAATGTCTGCAGGATTTTCCTCTGACTTGATGTGACTCCATCTACTATTATCTAAAACTCTTAATATATCAGCCACTCTATTGCCAACAAATGTACGCCAACGATGTGGTTGCGACTGAAGCCATGACAAAACCACCATCGAATCAGTGTAAGCAAAAATCTGTTCAATGGGAATCTTAAGCAAACCAGATATTTCCTCTATAAGCTCAGAAAGTAATGCCGCTGCACACAGCTCAAGTTTTGGTATAGTGAGTTGTTTTAAAGGAGCTACTCTTGTACGAGATGCAAGCAATGTGATGTGGACATTATCTTCTTCGTCAACAACTCTCAGGTAAGTGACTGCAGCGTAAGATGTCACTGAAGCATCTGCGAAGCCATGGATTTGCATTTCTTTAGTGCCACCGCTTGTGTGGAACCATCGTGGTATTTCTATAGTCTTCAATTCAGGTAAGTCATCTCTATAATTCTTCCATTCTTCCACTAATTCAACAGGTAGCTCGTCATCCCACCCAAGGTTGCTAAGCCAGAGTTTTTGAATTAGAATTTTTGCTACGATTACTAAAGGAGATAGCCAGCCAAAGGGGTCGAAGAGACGAGCAACGTCAGAAAGAATGGACCTTTTTGTTATAGGATATGTTAATTCAGGTAAGTTTACTGATACTTTAAATGTATCATCCTTTCTATCCCATGTAAGACCTAGAATCTTAATAACTTTATCTAGTTTAATTTCAAATGTATCTTTTATATTTTTATCCCCTTGTATAAACTGTAACAACTCTTCAGAATTGCTAGACCATTTTTGCATTTTAAATCCTCCCTGTTTTAGTACAGTTTTAATATCATTACATAGCTTCTTAGTTTTTTCTACATTATCACTTCCTGACATGTAATCATCAACATAAAATGACCCTTTTATTTCAGGTACAATATCAGGATATTCATTTGCTTCGTCATCAGCTACTTGGTTTAAGGTTCTTATCGCGAGGTAAGGAGCTGCTGCCGTGCCAAAGGTAACAGTTGTTAAGTCATAACTTTCCAGCTTTTCATCAGGATTATCCCGCCATAGTATTCGTTGTAATTTAGTGTGTTCATCTGTTAGTTTGATCATTCGATACATTTTCTCGATATCACTTATCACGCAAACTTTGTGTATTCGCCACGTTGTAATTAAACTTCGCAGGTCCGGTTGCAGTACGGGTCCCACCATCATGGTATCATTTAAAGAAAATCCTCCAGACCCTTTTGCCGAAGCATCAAATACCACACGAACCTTTGTTGTGTCTTTTTCTTCCCGTATTACAGCGTGATGAGCGAGATATACGGCGGTCATATCATCTGTTGTTTCTGATTTTTTCATGTGTCCTAATTCCTTGTACTCGTGTATAACTTTCTTATATTCTTCTTTAAACTTAGGGTGTTTCTGAAACTTCTTTTCTAATTGTTTAAATCTATGTACTGCTGGATCCTTTGTGTTTCCACACAGCTTTACCGTGTCTTCGATGCTTTGCTTTAAAGGTAAGTGTACAATGTAGTTTCCAGTTTCGTCTCTCTTCGTTGTATTCTTGTAATTCTCTTCACACCGTTCCTCTTCCTTAGTTAGAATCTTTCTTTTTTTGTATAAATTTGTTTCTACTTCCCAAAATCTCTTTAAAAGATTATTGTCTTCCTCGACTTGTCTTAATACATGCAAACTCTTTACATGTTGTGTATTTGAATCACCTAATCGGCCTGATAAAATCCAACCTAATCGTGTATATTGTGCAACTACTTCACCTGGCCCCTTTATCAACCCTACGTCTATTATTTTACCAAATACGTCAGCACCCAGTAAAATGTCTATCCTACCAGATGAGGCAAAAGTTGGATCAGCTAGCTTAATATTACCAAGTTGAGACCAATTGTGATAATTAAGATTTATATTTTTAGAAGGTAGCATACTAGTTAATGATTTAAGAATAAAAGCATTTACCTTTAATGAAAATTGTTCACATCTAGAAATTATTTGTAACTGTGTTGTATGACTTACATTTATTGAGTTGTCACCTACTCCAGAAACAACGCCGCTGATTCTGAATTTTTTCAAACCCAGTAACTCCACTACTCTCGCAGTGACGAACGATGCCTCTGAGCCCTGATCAATGAGCGCCCGGAAGACGTGTGTTTGTCCTTCACTTGTGCTTACGTCTACCAGTGCTGTTGCCAATAATACCATTTGATCAGGTTGTTTATCTCCTAAAATGTGTGTTACAGTTACCCTCGTATCTATCGGTTGTTTTAATTCATCTTTTTGTTTGGTTCTCTCTGAGTCTCTGTGCAATAAGGAGTGATGCCTTTTGCCACATATCTTACACGAAGTCTTGCGTCCACACTTGAACACAAGATGGTTTGGGGCCAAGCAATTAAAACATAAGCTTTTATTTTTGATAAAATCATATCTTTCTCCTATTGATTGATTTATAAAATCTTTACAGTTGAATATATAATGTTCTTGTTTGCAATAACTACAGGAAGGCTGTGCATTCACTGCCTTCGAGTTGATGTAAAAAGTTTTGTGCTCTTGAGGTTTTTCTCGGGTATTATAAGTGGTTGTTGGGTTAACTAATTCAAGTGTCCTAAATTTGGATTCAAGAAAGCGCTTTAACTCATTCCAAGTAGGTAGATCCTCCTTATTCTCCTTATAAACACTCTCCTCCCAATCCTTAAGTGACTCGGCGTCTAATCTTTGTCCAACGAGATATATTAGTATGGGATCCCAATAATCAGTGCAAACCTTCATATTATTAAGGCTATTTATACATTCTGTTGTAGTGTCGAGCAATGACTTTATTTGATTAGCTGATTGAGTAGTTAATTTCTTTTGGCTGAATAATCTTTTCATTAATGAATTTACAATAGCTCGTGTATTACCAAACCGATTAGATAGTAATTCCCAGGCTGGTGTATAATTGTCATCCGTAATAGGTATATGCCTTAATAATCTCTCTGCTTCTCCCGATACACTCGTTTTTAAATAATGTAGCTTTTGAACATTGCTTATATTAGTATTGTGAACAAGTGCCATGAATAAATCTTTATACGTAGGCCAATCTTCATATCTTCCGGAAAATGTAGGTAATTGTATTCTCGGTAGCTTAGCGAACGACCCTTGCCCGCTTAGTAAGGACGCTGACATATTATTTGCCTCGGTCGTCCTTTTCGATTCTAAACTTAAAAGCTGATCCATCATATCTCCTTGTAAACAGAGAAACATTTCCTCACATGTAAAGTATTGTTCATTAAGAAAATATGGCAAAACTCCGCGATGTTCTTGTGGTGTACACTTCAAAAGTTCATTATGTGTTTGTTTAAACATAGTCCAATAATCTTCAACTGTTTTCAATCTTCCTTTAATATAACCTTCTGTTAACCGTTGTTTAGGGCATTTCTTCATATTAATTTGCGCCTTTTGTATCATGTTGGCTATGTCTTCTAATGTAGTCAAATATTGAGATTGTTGTGGAGTAGGTGGAGCCATTTTGTAAATTGAATAACTTTTAGTTTATTTAACAAACCGCAAACGTAACAAATGTTCACTATTGATTTACATATAATATAATAAATGTTAATTGTTTACTTTTCTTGCAACAACGTATAAAAAGTATTATTTTTAAACAAAAATATTGTTCAACTGGTCTTTTAAATCACACTTAATAAGTTCTATTTTAACCACTAAACAATAACTGTAGTTCAATTATAATATTTAAATCGTCTATAATCAACTTAAACGGTTATGTTTTAACCGTGAATTGCACTAATAACCTTAATTAATGTCCACCACAATGTTTTTTAGCACTTATTCACCAATAATTATAATGTTTTGAGTTAAACGTATGCAACATAACTTCACTGATTTATCGCAAACAAGTTTTTTATACGTAGTCTATTGTATTCAAACGCTCGAGTCACTTCACCGCTTCACCGATCCATCCGGCTCGAAGGACCATATGTTTTGTGCGTTACGGTTCAATATTGTACGATGCAGCGGGTGAATATTGATAATACGTGTTGTCTTGACAATATCTTTAATGAGACTAAACAAATAGCATATACCATATTCATTCATTCACAACCTTTATAAAGTATCGAACAGTTACATTAAGGAATATTTTATGATTGCATAAAACTTTAATTTTCACTAATTCTGATGATTAAATGAATCTTATAGTTTTATTAAAATCGTTTCTGTTATCTCAAACAGGAGCAAATATGCTAAACATAAAACCAAACAAAAATTTTATCTTTATATTTAATATAAAGTCACTCACCCGGCGCGCCGCAGTCGCAGCACTTGTCGTTGCCCTTGACGCGGCGTATGTAGTAGGTGGCGCGCACGTCGCCCGTCGAGTTGGCCCCCGTGGGCGCCGGCTGCCGGGACGTCTGTACACAAACAACATTTATATATAAGCTACTATGTACTACTGTTCAGAAACCTTATATTATATTTAAATTTTTCAAAATAACTGAATTTAAAAAAATGTTACGTCTTTTATTTTTATTGGCAGGAAAAAATATTTATAAAAGTTTTCATTCGCGTTACCCTGCACGTCCCTTATCCTATCAAGCCGCCTTCATCGACTATTTATTTATTTATTTATTGAGAAAACAACAGCATTACATGAGATAAATTAATGTAAAAAATAATATATACTAAAATAAAGCCAATCACCGTTTTCTTCTTTTAATAATACATATAGCTATCAATACACTAAGATAAGTTATCCATCAGAGAGAGGAGAAAAAATGAGGCAAAATAATGTAACAACAATGTGTACTAAAATGAAGCCTATAGAATAGAAGCTATATAATAATAATGTCTTGGTGATGGATTCCGGCGACTCACCCGTCCCTGCAGCGAGGCCAGTATCTGCGCCTCGACGGCGGCCACCCAGGCGTCGCGCTCGGCCGCGCCCGCCGCGCCGCCCGCGCCCACCTCCCAGCGCCAGCGCTTGCCGTCTAGGCTCACGATCGTGAACTCGCACGACGTCGACCCCTCCAGCTCTGTCCCCAACCAAACATATCATTAGTAGGGGTGTGCGAATATCGTTCGAATCGAACCGAATATCAATATTCGATTCGAAATTCGAATCGAATAATTCGAATTTTCGAATTATTCGAAATACTTCGTATAATTCGAAAAATTTCGAATAATTCGAAAAATTTCGAATAATTCGTAAAAATTTCGAATAATTCGAAAGTTTTCGAATAATTCGCGAATTAATGAAATATCTCTGGATCTTCAATTGTATCCATTTAAATTCCTTCAAATCGTGTGTCAAAATAGTCTACTTACGAATAATATACTTGTCGTTTAAAAATCAATTACCCAGAGAAAACAATTGCTCATTTTTAAAATTTGCAATATATGTTCGAATTATTCGAATTTTTTCGAATTATTCGAAATTTTTCGAATTATTCGAAATTTTTCGAATTATTCGAAATTTTTCGAATTATTCGGGAACTTTCGAATAATTCGTAAGTTCGAATTATTCGCACACCCCTAATCATTAGCATTATACAATATACATTCTTAGATAATAACTAGCGATTATTACATTTTTTTTAACGGAACCCTAATTCTATTACTGAAATAAAAGTAGCCTCAGTTATTCCTTATAACATCAACTACTTGCCAGTGAAAGTACCGTCAAAATCGGCCCAGCCGTTACGGAGATAAACTGGAACAAACAGCCAGACAGACAGATAAAAATAAAAAAAAAATGTGTTTTTCTTATAAGTACCGTATATAATTATTCCATATGCATTCAGTAAAACGCTGTTATTTTGACATTACAAATAGGCACTTCAATTTTATTTACCTGTATAGATGTATACATTAGGATTAAAGGCAGTAATACCCCAGTGGTGGCGCGTTCTGTTATACCCCTTCGCTGTATGGGTTATTGCTTATTTATGTTATAGCCCTACTAGCTATCATCATTTTGTACTCTATATATATGTCCTTTAATTTGTATTAAGTCAGTTCGAGAGTATCGTCGGTCGAGAGCACTAGCTCTTAATATCCCATATATATTGTATAAATAATTAATAAAGTTATTAAAGTGTTTTCAGTGATAAATAAATCTTTTTTTTTAAAAAGGGTCTTATCCAGGGACCCATAACAATTGGTGGCAGCGGTGGGATAATAATAATCCCAGGGGGTTATAATAATCACGGATACCCCAGGATTATACGAAAATTCTTGTGCCTTAAATGACCGCGAACTCTCGGCTCCGCGTAACTTCAAATAAGTGGGGAACCACCATAAGTGAAAAGTTGTGAAAATTTGTGAAAAGCTATAAAAGCTGTGAAAAGTGTTAGTGAAAATCCAGGTTGTCCACCAGAGAGTGAGACGCCTACGTCTACTGGCAGAGGACCTAGTACGTGTGCCGTGTTCGTCTCCCGTCCGGAACGACGCCAGGTTTTGAACCTGTGACCACTGAGCTGGCGGGCATACAAGGTCTGGCCTTATCTACAAGAATGCAGCTCGTCGCCACCCGCGTCGTGTTCGTGTTACTTGTGGCCCACACGTGAGTGATAGATAGTATTACAATCAAAACAATTACTGGAAGTTGCGCGTTAAAGACAATATAATATATTATTATCAATTTTCTATTTTAAACAATTGTTATTCTGACGAATATTTTATTAAAACAAAAGTTATAATACTTTATACTTTATGAATATTTAATACTGATTTATTATTTTTCTGATTGTTCTGTTTATTTTTATTGATTTTATATTTTTGTAATATTTACAATATAATATTAATTGTAACAAACTATCCAGATCGAGTGATAAAATAATTTAAAAATGGCTAAAAAAGTTGATATCCCAATAGTTCCGCTTACTGACGGAGAAAAAGCGCCTTCACCCGCCGTGTCTAAAACGGAAAAGAAATATATAAATGAAATTGATTTAAATATTCTTTTGAAATTTATTAAACCCTATGACGGATCTAGGGATACAATTAATTCTTTTCTAACAAATTGTAATAACGCATACGAACTTGCATCTGAATCACAAAAACATATATTATTTAAATACATTTTGAGTCAACTACAAGGCAAGGCTGAAATAGCAGCCTCAATAAAAGATTTTACATCTTATGACCAATTAAAAGATTTTCTAAAAACTCAATTTAGTCAAAGGAAACATTATTCTCATTTAATAAGCGAATTACAGGAATGTAGACAAACATCTGTGGAAAATGTCACACAATTTTCTATTAAAATTGAATCTATCTTATCTCAACTTTTGACAGAGATTTCTATGAATCCTACTAAAAAATTAGAGATTCCAGGCAGAACAGCTGCTATGGAGGACCTAGCCCTCCACCATTTCTTGATGGGTCTCCACCCACGCATATCGAATATAGTTAGGTGTAGATCGCCTAAAAATTTAAATGAGGCCATTAGTTTAGCTATTTCTGAGGAAAAAATTCAGAAAACATTATATAAAAAGGCGGAAAATTTTGAAAAACCTAATAAAGTAGATAAATTTACAAATAGTAATAATTTTCATAGAAATAATTATTTTAATAATGTACCCAGGCAGGTTAATCAGTATAGGTCTTTTAACCCTTTGCAGCGTTATCCGAATAGTGCGCCTACCACATTTACCCCAAGACCTCCTCAAGGTCAAGGACAAGTTAGTCAATATAATCGACTTACTAATAACTCCAGGCCTCAATTTAGTAATAAAAATTCGAGTAATCCTAATAGACCTCGTATAAATTTTGTAGAGGATGATCCTTCTTATTATGAAGAAGAAGGGAGTTCATTCCCTTATGAGGAAACGGGCTCATACGTTGAGGATAAACCCAACGAGGACGACGATTATGACTGTCAACAGCCTACTTTAAACGAGTAGTCGTCCCGTCAACGTGTCGGACGCGACAAAATCTTAAAAATGGCACGAATAAGATTTATAAAATAACAAGTAATAATAATAACAGATACTTACCCCATATTAAATTGCCAACTTCTGGCAGTTCTAGACCCTTGTCATTATTAATAGATACAGGTGCCTCAGTCTGCCTCATTAAAAGTTCAGCACTATCAAACACCTTAAAAGTGTACCCCAACAATATTTCTGTAAGAGGAATAAATTCGAAAGACGAACCTCCATTGAAAAGTTTAGGTTACGTAAACTTAAAATTAAAAATTGGTAACAACTATATATGTCATAAATTTCACGTTTTTGACGAATTACAGCTTCCATATGATGGCATTATTGGTACTGACCTTTTTATGACATATAATTGTCAAATTAATTACAATTCCAACAGCCTAGAAATAAATAACTATAAAACTTACCTTATGTTTCACGAACCTACATATGTTATAAAACCTAGATCTGAAACGGTTATAGAATGCACTGTTGTAAATCCTGAAATTCAAGAAGGATTAATATTAGATAAGAAAATTTCGGATAAAATACTTATTTCAAATTGCATGGTAAGAGTGAAACCTAACAATAGAGTTAACATTACTATATTAAATATTACAGAAGAACCTATCCAAGTAAATTCTAATCTACAACTCAAATTAGAGAAAATTCCAGCACAGAATGTAAATTTAGTAAACAATTGTCAAAATACAATAGAAAGAACTGAACAAGTTCTAGAATCTCTTAGAATATCTCATCTAAATTATGAAGAGAGTGAACAACTTCTAGATATTTGCTCTCAGTACTCTGATATATTTCATTTACCTGATGACCAACTAACATATACAAATGCACTGAAACATCAAATTAAAACTAACTCCGATATTCCCATTAATACAAAATCATATAGGTTTCCACAGTGTCATAAAGATGAAGTACACAAACAAATAAATAAGATGTTAGATCAAGATATAATTCAGCCATCCGTATCACCATGGTCTTCACCAATATGGGTTGTACCAAAAAAAATTGATGCCTCTGGCGAAAGAAAATGGCGTGTAGTAATAGACTACAGAAAACTCAATGATATAACCATAGGCGAATCGTACCCCATTCCCCAAATAAATGAAATTTTAGATCAATTAGGTAATAGTAAATATTTTTCTACTCTCGACTTAGCGTCAGGTTTTCACCAAATTCAAATAGCACCAGAAGATGCCGATTAGATGAAATTCTCTCTGATACAGAAGAGCAACTTAACTTACCTTCTCCAGAACGAGAAAGATCTAACTTACCTTCTCCAGAACGAGAAAGATCTAACTTACCCTCTCCAGAACGAGAAAGAGTTAACTTACCTTCTCCAGAACAAGAAAGAATTAACTCACCTTCTTCAGAACAAGTTGACTTACCTTCTCAAGAACTTGCTGGTTCTCCGACTGCAGAGCCTATTGCTTCACCTGCTGTTGGACCCATTGACTTACCAAGTCGAGAAATAAGCCCATCTATTGATGACTATTCAACATTTCTCAAAGCAACATCTGAAAAAAATAGGAATTTTAATACACAAATTATAGAACATAACGAAAGTCTAATGAAATCTACTGTAAAAACTATAATAATTCCTACCTCAATAGACCTTGATGAATCTAATCCCTATATAGAAGAGATTTTAGGTAACCATGAAAATTCAAAAGAGATTGTAGAAGCAGAGAGACAGCTACATTCTTTCCAAATAATAGAATCAACCAATAAAACTTATCTTCTTCTTTTCACTAGAGTACACCATTTTGATGAGTCACGTTATGCTGAAATATTTAAAACTCTGGAAAATGCCAGAAATAGGTTATTAATATTTGAAAATATAAATGAAATAGCAATTTCAGATTTTAAAAATCCTTTTGAAAAACATTCATTTACTAAGATATATAATATGCTAATGTATCTTTTCCATAATACTAATATAAAAATAAATATATATCATAATAACATAGTTTATCCTTCACCTACTGAATTAAAAAAGATATTACGTGATAATCACGATATACCCATTGCAGGACATCTTGGTTCTGTCCGCATGTATAACAGAATAAAAGACATGTATTATTGGAAAGGAATGCGAAAAGATGTAGAGATATATGTTAAAGCCTGTAAATCATGTCAAGAAAATAAAGCCTTAAGGAAAATAAACAGAGCACCTATGCAAATAACCAGCACTTCTACTGCTCCCTGGCAACGTCTTAGCTTAGATATAGTAGGACCACTTCCAGAATCTGGGACAGCTAAATTAAAATACATTCTCACACTTCAAGATGATCTTACTAAATTTTCTGTAGCTTACCCAATTCGTAGTACAACTGCAGAAGAGACAAGCGAATGTCTTCTTCATTTTATTGCTATTTTCGGAATTCCCAAAATGATCCTTACCGATCAAGGAACAAATTTTACATCGGAACTTTTTAAAACAACTTGCAAATTTTTAAAGATTAAACAGTTATGGTCTTCGCCTTACCACCCACAAACGCAAGGAGCACTGGAAAGAAGTCACTCCACCCTGAAGGAATATCTGAAATCATATGTTAACGAAGGACAAACGGATTGGCCTCGTTACGTCTATACTGCAATGTTAGCTTATAATACCAGTGTGCACTGCACTACTCATTTTACACCCTATGAACTAATGTTTGCTCACAAGCCTTTTATTCCAAATTCTATTTTCGAAGAATCACCTGGAGCAACCTATCCAGAATATGTGAAGATGCTACAAAACCGTTTTAAATACTCAAGAGAAAAGGCAATTCAAAACATACGAAATTCTAAAAACAATTCAAAAAACTATTATGACTCTCATAGTAAACCACAGCAATATAAAGTAGGTGATTATGTTTACCTGAAAAACCATTTAAGAATGCGGAAGGCCTTATCTCCTTTATGGAAAGGACCTTATAAAATCGTGAAAATTCTTGGTAACAATACGTTATCACTATTAATCAATAGACGACATGTTACTCACCATTATGACCAAGTAAAACTAGCTGATATATCTAGTAATAATATAAACTGATATAATTAGTAATATAATACTTTATGAAATTTCAAATTAATTAGATATAAGTCTTTTTTTTTACAGTTAATTTACATTTACTTTTATATTTTTATTTTATTTTTTTTATTATATTCAACTTAAGGGTTAAATAATTTTAGCATCGGGCTAATTACGTAAATTAAAAATAACTAACACATTATAATATTTTCAGTGTATCCGCCCAACTGGAACAGGAATTCATCCAACGAATTTCCGCAAGCTCCGGCATTTATTTTGATTACTTAGGAAATGTAAAAATAATTGAAGGACAATTAAATGTTTTAATTCCGATAGATACATCTTTTATAAAACCACATATTGACAACATAAATTCAGTAATCAATACAGTTAGAAACAACTGTAACCAAATTCCAGATAGCGTAGAATGTTATAATATATTTGAACCGTTAACATTTCGTTACAATGAAATTTTAAAACAATTTTCTGCTGTTTCTCATCTATTAGACACAAAAAATAAACGTAGTGCCTGGTTTGCTGGCATTGGTTCAGTAATGAAGCATATTTTCGGAACTCTAGACGAGGACGATGGTCTAGTTTTCAATAATGCAATAGAGTCTATACTAAAAAACCAGGAGAAAATGTCATCATTAATTAAGGAAAATGTCTTAGTAACTAATTCTATAATTACACGTTTTAATGAAACAATTTTAAAAGTTCAATTGAATGAATATCATTTAAATGAAGCAATTAATAAATTTTCTTCAGTAGTAGAAAATATATCTATTGCTACCGACAAAATTCAGTTACAGTTAAGTATAAACGAGTTATTTAGCAACCTTGAAATGTCCCTTCTTACCTTATCGTTTCAACTAGAGGATATTATAAATGCCATAATGTTCAGCAGTCTGAATAAACTGCACCCGGCAATAATGACACCGACACAGCTTTATAAGGAACTAGTAGACTCTTTTCGATATTTACAACAAGGACTTGAACTACCAGTCCCTCTTGAAATTAATATGATGCATATTATTACGAATATTTCCAAAGTATCATCTTATTTTATGAAACCCCGACTAGTATTTGTATTGCAAATACCGCTAGTGTCTAATAAATTATATAAATTATATCATAATATACCTTTACCTACACCACATAATATTAAAAATCCTGAGTCCTTCAGTTTGATAATCCCTAGTGCTAAATATATCGCAATAACGATTGATAAGAATCATTATTTTGATCTGGACAGTTTGAATAATTGTTTAATTATAAATCATGAGCATTTTATATGTGATGTTCCTAATGTATATGCAACTGATGCTAAGATTACTTGTGAAAGTAAATTATTATCAAAGGTTATTAATAAACTTCCCGACCAGTGTGAAACAAAATTTATATATGGTAAAGTTGATATTTGGAAAAACTTAAATAATAATAAATGGATATTTATTCAATCTGAAAGTAGTAAAATAATAATAGAATGTCAAAAATTGAAAACACATCGTGAAAATATATTATTGGGAACAGGTATTTTGAGCCTACCCCAATCCTGCGTTGCCTACAATAAAAACACAGTATTGATGGGAAAAATTAATAAAAATATACATTCGGAAATAATTACCTTTGACTATAATATTATTAATGACACTTGTTGTAATAAATTTAAGTTAGATAAGGTTAAGGACAGTGTGTCTCCTATTAATTTAGAAAAAATAGATTTAGATAGTTTAACAGTTCAAAAAGAATCATTGAAAAGGAAATTATTAGAAACTGAAATAGATACAGATATTCCTCATATAATTAAGTATGGGACACATTATTCTATGTTAACCATAATGATATTGGTTATTATTATTTTTGTCTTAGTTTATTTTATTAGTATTAAGATTATATACTATTATAAAAAATGTAATAAATCATTGGGCCTTAACATAGATTTAAAAGACGAGAATAATTCTGATAATAGTAACTTACAGGTAGAGGAACAACCCTCTTATCCATCAATCAGATGTAACATTTAATTTTCATAAACTTCGGTTTAAAAAGGAAGTCCGAAGTTTATTTTAACGGGGGAGGTGTTATACCCCTTCGCTGTATGGGTTATTGCTTATTTATGTTATAGCCCTACTAGCTATCATCATTTTGTACTCTATATATATGTCCTTTAATTTGTATTAAGTCAGTTCGAGAGTATCGTCGGTCGAGAGCACTAGCTCTTAATATCCCATATATATTGTATAAATAATTAATAAAGTTATTAAAGTGTTTTCAGTGATAAATAAATCTTTTTTTTTAAAAAGGGTCTTATCCAGGGACCCATAACAGTTCGCTTATGTAATCGAGTGAAGCGAGTTCAAATCCCAGTTCCCACACCTCTAATATTAAATATGCGAATCATTTTTATAATTCGATTACAATTTGTTTAACGGTGAAAAAAAAACGTGAAGAAACCTGTATGTCTGAGAGAACTAAGAAAATTTTCGAAAGACATATAAAGTTCAAATCCAAATCGTCTATCAATAATTACCTTCTTCACCATCCTTCTTCACGCCACTGCTCTTCATCCGTCTATGTCGTTTCTTCACGTGAGGCGTATCCTTATCCGTACCGTTGGCGGAATAGATATCCACTTCAGACGCTAGCGACTGTCGACTCGACGCCGGCTCCTTCAAGGTGTCGAACGCGGACATTAAAGCTTTATCTGTCACCCGCGTGGGTTTATCTTTGTAACCTGTGAATGAAAATGTGTGTAATTTAAAATTATATAATAATCATAGGAGTATTTAAGATCTTTCATTTTAACTTTGATTTCGATGAAATAAAAAATATTTTAAATAGAACTTCAAGTCACGGGGAGAGACTCTTCATTATCATATTAAGAAAATATTTTCAAAAATAATATAAAGTTATACAATTCCCACTATAAATAATATTTGTTGGCAACTTACTTTACATATTATGCACTACATTACTTATTCAACTGTCATTGAAAAATGAGTTAAATAAAAGGATAATAAAAATAAATAAAAGCCAATGTTAAAGAACTTTAATTTAAAAATTAATTATTTTTAAAGCTATACTTCTTTTGACACTTAGAAAAAAATATGAAAGTAAAATGTTGACGATGCGCGCGCGCATTGATGCCCTCGAATTGGGAGGCCCGTGCCCAGCAGTGGGATGTTAAAAAGGGCTGAATACAAATATATATTTATGTACAAACATACCTAGCGACAGTCCTCCAATACTATCATGTATATCCATGCTGGTGTATCCATTGTACCCGGGGACTGTTGTTATAATGGACTTGGAGCCCCTCGGCTTCTGGCCCGGCACTTTCACTGTTACATACTGTAGTGAAATCTCTTTACCATTCACATCCTCCATATAATCCTGTGAAATATAATTAATTTATACATACGAGTATAATAAAATTCTAACCGAGTCTTGAAATAGTCATTATTATCGATACAGAGGCCGAATCTATTGTTTTTACAATTTTTGTCTGTCTGTCTGACTGTCTGTGACCGCGTCACGCGAAAATCACTGGATATTTTGTTGAAATTTGGTGTGATGATAGCTGGTTATCTGAGTCAACATATAGGATACTTTTTACTGCGGGAAACTATCTAATCTCTGAGAAATCTATACAAAACGTTTAAACGTAACTAGGGACGAACCCGAGTGGAGCGAGAGTGAGTCGTTAGATGTATAATATAAAAATGTATTTTGTATCTATATGTAATTAAAAACCAAAATAGTTTTGCATATATTTAATAAAGTGTAAGAATATGTAAGTTGGACTTTCCTTCTTTCACATAGCACTAGTGCAATGAAACGACATGATTTTTAAAAGAAGACAGTTAATGAGTAAGTAGGCTCTATATCTTTTTTTTTTAATTTTTCAGTAAAAATAATTATTAAATTTATATTTATCATTTTTTTATTTTCTACATATGTACAGTGTACACATAATATTGTAAACTGACCACAGCTTAGTGTCTATTAGATTGGCACTGTTTAAAACCAGATATTATGAAAGATTCAATTACCACACAGGGAGAATTTTTGTTAACTTAAATGCAAATATTGGAACTAAATAATAAACATAAATATGGAATGATACGAGTATTATTTTACTACTATTTTATCTAGCTCGCAATAAAAAAATACATAAAATAAACAAAAACATGAAGAAACATAAATCAATATTTTTAAATCTCGACGTTCAACCCATTAAGTAATATTTTAATAATAAAAGATTACGCTAAAAGCTCAATGTCAAGATTTATCACGTACTATTTCTATTACGTATAAAATAAGAAAGAAAAAAATATTTAACTGCCTCGGTGGTCTAGTGGCTAACATGTACAGCTAAGGGCTATAGATCCGGAGGTTCTGAGTTCGAGTCCCGGGTCGTGCCAAGCTTAATTATAAGTGTTTTGTTAAGACATTCTCAGTAACAGCGCAGAATTGGGAAGTTGGAGGTGTTTCCCCATGTGCCTCGAACAGCACGAAAAAGCCGTCGGTCCTGCGCCTTAACTCTCACCGATCGTGTCGGAGGATCATTCCATCGGAATTTAAGGGTAAAAATGAATAGAGAATGCACTTGTGTCTGTACGTACACCTATGCACTATCAGATCAATATCACTCCTGCACAGATAGCTAATCTCAGTGAGATCGTTCGCCGTGACCGAAATCGACCAGAGGACATTATTATAAGAAAAAACATTTGGATATGCATACTCACATGTAAACTTGGGTGATACGTCAGCCTTCCATCATCACATAGCGTCACATACTTCTTCTTCCACTCCTTATTCAACGCTTTACTGCTCTTCTTATACAAATACCCCTGTTTTAAGGGTATCGCTCTACCAGAGCCGAGTTCGCCATTTTTCAATCTATCATCTCCCTTTTTAGAGGGGGTAAATAAATTTGATCTTCGCCTGGATTTCCTTGATGTTGTTGGAGTTGACGATGGGGTTGGCAGGTCTTTTATATCCTTGGATTGTAAGTTATCCAAGCAGTGCGGTGCGGTGAATTTGACATTATTATTCTCTGTAGCAATCGACACAAGGCCTGATGAGGACCCATGGCTTCCTAGGGAATTCCCCCATCTTGAGGATGTGTCCGAGCCGTTTGTGCTATGAATTTCCACAACATGTGTTGAAGATATCCCACTGCTGTTTGATGATGCGTCAAACGATGAAGCTCCTCGGTGTAGGTGATGGGATGACGCAGATAGAGTGTGGTGGCCTCGGGGGAGGGAATCCTGGAATATTTGAAAAGTAACAATTGTAATAATCAATAGTAAGTAGTAATAGTTATCTGACGACACGTTTGGCTCAGATTGTAGTGACCCTACTTGCTGTGCCAGCGGTCGCGAGTTTGAGTCCCGCTGGGGGTATTCATTTGATGAAGTGATTAGTGTGATGAACACGAATGTTTGTATCAGTCGTGGGTGTTTATATTTATAATATGTATTTAAAAATTATGTATATGGTAAATATATCAACTATGGATACCAGTATCCATAACACAAGCCTTCATAGCTTACCATGGAACTAGATGGTGCTGTGTTTTAATGTCCCAACATATTTATTTATAATGTTTTATCTGATTATAAATGTTATGATATTTTGAAATAAATTTTCAATAAGATAAAGGCTGAGGACAAGGTGAAATCAATTACACAACATAATTTTTTAAAATAAAAAGGCAATAAAAATAGTAATAAGTTATTAAACTTCCTCTGACTACAACATAAGCGAAAGAATTTTAACATCTAATATTTTATATTTATTTATACAAATCTATATGCATATATAAAAATCTGTGCACCCTATGGACCCCAAAACGACTGGAGCGATTTTGATCATATTTTCAGGCCATCTTTAAATTAGCTCAGCGAACTTCACAGGATCACAATCCTGTCAAGTTTGGTAGCGATCGAAAGTTTGACGCGTGCGACGCCGCAGGTACTGCTAGTAGCATATAAAAGAATAAATAATATTTGTTCAAAACTATAGTGGATGTACCAATGCATTTCAAATCATTAGTGGAGATAAACTTTTTCACTCTTATCAATATTATCATTGCCTAATACTTCGATAACTTTAATGTATGATAAAAATTACCTTGAAATTTGTATTTAAAATCATGTTATTACAAGGATTAAAAATCTAATTACTTATTTATTGGCATGTAGTCATGTTTCAAAGAAGAGTCATTTGTTTTTACTTTCTTTAAATATAAAGAGACCAAACAATAAAAAAAACATAAACAAAAATAGACTAATAGATACAATCATAATGATGTCACAGGCATAGAAATATATTTATCATGCTGAATTATTTTTGGTGACATTTCAAGGATAAAGGATAATTATTTTAAAACTAGCGAATTACCCTTGATTAGCTTGGGCGTGTACCTAGATAAATTTTAATTTTCTTCCAGCAGAACCCTAATTCTTTTTCTAAAATAAAAGTAGCCTAAGTTACTCTTTGTTATAAAGAACAGCTATCTGCCAGTGAAAGTCCCAAAATCGTCAAAATCAGTCTAACCTTTTCGGAGATTAGCCAAGAACAAACACACAGACACAAATTAAAAAAAAAGTGTTTACTTTTATGTACTGTATATAATTTTATATGCATTTAGTAAAAAGCTGTTATGACATTACAAACAGACACTTCAATTTTATTTATCTTTAAGGATTGAATTATTTCAATTATAATAAAAATTAATTTCTTTAACTCAAATCATTACACTAAATTAATATACACAATATACATACATTGTAAAAATGTAGGTATATACTTATATATTATATTATACTTAGATAGGTAATATATCTAGATATAGAAACTATTTTTAGTTTAAGTTTTATTTCATAATTATCTTATAATTAAATGCAGTAAGATATTTTTTGCCAAACACATTTTATTACCCTTTAAATATTTATGAATATACATATTAAAATAAAATATCATAACACATGTACTTATATAAAAGAAAACAAGTTTTCTTCATTCAATGAGATTAATCTTGCTATCTATCTATTGTGATATATCACATTTAGGTATATAAAATATTTTTTATGTCTTTATATTATCTGTATTATTTTTCTAAGTGAACAAAACAATTGAATTGAATTATTTTTCTAAGTTAAATAACCCAACTGTCACAGAATTGATAAACAATCAAATAAAAGATACCTATTTGTGAGATTAAGTCTGTTGTTTTATAAAAAAGCACAGTATGTACCTACGTCTATGTATGTTTTAAAAAATGTATTTTTCCCCCATTTTCTAACAAAGAGTTTCTATCTATTTCTAATAATGTCTGATTTGTGAAGAAAAGTAGCACATCCGCCATAGAAAACATATTCATGAAACTATATAATTATCGTACGATTACAAAATAATCGACAGATTTGCGGCCGAGAATCAACACGAATATCTAAATCTAGACGCGAGTGTCGATGAAGCGTATAATAACCTTCGCTTTTAAATTAAATAGAATATTTCTTACCTTATAAAGGAATGTAGAATGGTTATGGCTTGGTGAGTTCACAAGCGGCTGAGGAGTTACTGGCCTCGAACCTCCAGATAGGCACTGAGACGACGCCGACAGTCTCGTCCCAACGATCTTCTGACACGCTGGAAAAAACACCAAATATCACCACACGATGCAAAATAATCACCACGTACAATACAACACACAATTATCGAACACTTTATTATTATTTCTATTCAAAACACGACATATTCAAACGGTAATCAACGCACATTCAAATTTAGCCGATTTTCGTCGGTCGCGTTCCTCTGCTCTTTGTATATTGTAACACGAACTCCGACGTCTCAGGCTCGATATCGGTGACATGTTCGATTTGAATATAAGTGTTCTATCCATGACGCCATTCGGGTTTGAATATTGTTTTTATTTAAAAGTCACACACAAGTCGTCTGTTAAAAATTTACGCGAGGAATGTCAAAGAACGTAAACAATGCGGAACGAATGAATGCAAACGATCGGAACGACCGCACGGCTCCACACCGGTGTTGCCACTACTCGATAGCATCTCTCCACGCGAATTCATCTAATAGTTGATGGTTGATGCTATCGCTACGTCACGCATAATACTAACAAGTTGTAAAAAGAATAGTTATTATGTAATTGAGATCGCATTAATTAAAAAGACATCTTAAGTGAGTAAATTGATACGTTAGTGTCGATGTTACTTTATATATATTCATAATTCATAACAACTTTCTAACCAATTTATACAAAAATTGCGTTGTTAACTTTACATTTTGTTTCAAAAAGAAACAAACTAGAAATGTATTTTAGCATTATAAATTTCTCACCAAGTCAATAAAAAAGAATAAAGTTGTAATAATGATAATTGAAAAAAAATGATTGTTAATAAATTTAAAAACAGTTTTTTTTTTGTTATACTAACCATCTTGAAATACTCGTTCCACGTTTAAACCGTAAGTTGCACACGTCTCGTAGTAAGAGCACCTCCGTAGTTCATTCGACAATTTACGAGCGCGGTTGTCATCCACTACGCGCGGACTGCTTTCACTTATGGCATCTGGAAGAGTAACCGATCATTAAATAGGAAATAATATATTAGAAACACCCGACGGAATTAAGATATGTAAATCTGTATCAACGTAACGAATATCTTATAATAACGTTATCTAACGAGTATTTCGGTAGTGTAAATAAAATTACGATAAACTTTCACTTTTAGGTCAAAGTCATTTCTAAAACAAGTTTTAAATATATGCAACTTAATTCAAATTTGTTTTTGAATAGACCTGTTAAATATATAATTTTAGGGAAAAATTAGAGAAAATGTGTGCTATCTTTTATAATATTTACCTTGAGTCCCAACTAATATGATCGGAATTTCAGCGGAATTTCGATAGTGGGACATCTTATTGAAGTAGGTCGAAACGGTGTTGTAACTGACGTCGTTTTCAAGACTGAACACGAATATTACAGCATCCACCCAGGCCGTAAACTGTAACAAAATTTGTTTATTATTGGGTATTTGTATATAAAAAACTAGTGACTTTATCTCTGTCCCTAAGTGGCCTTTACATTTGTGAGATTATTTACATATAGCGACAGTTTTTGGCGAACTTTATTACTGACAGTAACCTATTACTCTGTATAACAGTCTAGCTGTTTACTAAACTTCATCGAAATACGACTAGCCTGTACATAAAGGAGACAACACAAAGGAGAAATAAACATACCCAGAATATTTACATTAAAACTTTTGCATTTATAACAGTAATGTGATAAAATATTGTCAGGGTCCATACATTATTTTAAGGTCATTATATGTTTATATGATATCATATTCAAACATATGGCATTATAAGGATTAGTTAGATATACCTAGAGAAAAAGCCGCACCCCAGGTTTTTACCCATAATAATTACGAGGGGTAATTCTGTGTTGTAAGGGTTATGAAATGAACATGTAATAATACCTACATAAATACGATAGCAAATAGTGCTTATATTTGCTAATAAAAATAAAGTATTATTTAAAAAAATACATATGTAATAAAGATTAACTTCTCTTAAGTCATGTTACAAGAGGATATGGAAAACAGTTTTGTTTAAAAATAAAAGCCGACAAAGTGTATGAATAACTCAGTTTCCACTTCAAAGAAGATATGTGCGTAGGAGGGTGTCACCCCATTCCTCTTGAATAGCATTCGACGATATAAGTCGAGCCACCGGAGTGAGTAGTGCTGACAGGAAAAATAAAGTAAGGAAAACCTCTCAGCACTAAGCACTTTTATTAATAACTCAAAATAATAACCCTAACGAAAGGTGTGAATATTTGAATAGACCCCAGTGGAAGATGCCATGACAAAGTTGATACGAAATATTAGAAAGAACATTTAATTAATATTGGAATAAATGGTTGAGACTAAATTAATATAATCGTTTCACCATTTCATTACTAACAATTTCAAAGATGTCTCTTAAGTTACATCATTTTTACATTATTATAATTTTATTTCCTTTATTCTACATGTAAGTATGTATATTACGAATATATTTTGAGGAAGAACAGTAGAACAGAAGCGCTTCAATACAAATGCAGCTACTTTGAAAACTTTATATTGGACTAAATATCATCAGATTCGTATGAAATATTCACTTTGTAAATAAAACTATTCTCATTCGTAGAACTATGATACAGAAACATTTTAATTAAAAACTAATCCCTCATTTGAAGCTTTAATTACACGCAATATTCAAATAGTTTTCATCAATTTCAATTACAGAACAATTCGCAATACTAAATCTGAACAAAAGATATAAAAACAATCTTACCAACCCATTGCGCAGTTTTTCCTTATGAGTCAAACTTTTATCACTTACAGAAAACGTTTCCACGAGATAAAATCAAATAAAAACTACATTAAAATATGAAAATTGGATAACAATCACGTTGTGAGCATGGCAGAATACTGGAGTCGACTGGGCGGGCGGGCGGATTGGAATCTAGCGAAGCCTTCACTTGAGCCTTTCTCGCTTCCACCCACTAACAGAGCGCTTTGAAAAGGGAAGGGTAGCCAGAATGCATTGCTCCTGAACCTTGCAGTACGCTATACAATATACCTATACGAGTATTGTCAGATAATAGGTAATGGCTTAGCAAGTAAGTTTAATATCAGCGATAACTAATTTTGGTTCTCTTGTGATCGATAAATATGGACATTAGGTTACGGTGACTCAATATACTTATGTATCTTGTCTCATCAATTGTTTTCTCCGATCGACATGTTATATTTATGTCGATCTTTCAAAAGATATTATTCAAGTTGTTACGCATAGATAACTATTTAAATATCCTACGTGTTATGTAACATCTAGAGAAATTTAAAGTAAAGAAGTTTACAAAATAATATTTATTGAAGGAATTCTAGTGCATTTACGTTATGGACTCTAATAGTACTCGTAGTTTGCTGTTAGGAAGCGAAACGACGAGGAAATAATCGAATAAACTGTGACGCGGTGTTCGAAGCGTGCGGGCACTTAATTAATATGGTAAAGTGATGAAACTCTGAAATTTTTTATTTAAATATACCTATGTATATTTGCAAAGAAAATTTTATCTATCACGATCAATACAAAAATATACACACAAGTTACAGCGAATGTTTAGACAGAAAAGTACATACGATTACAGTTATATCATAGTAGGAATACAGGAATATATATTTTAGCAAGTATTCAATATTCATATTATTTAAACACTATAGCAGTACAAATTATTTAAAAAATATGCGCATATCATAATTTGTAGCGAACACACTGCGCTATCATTACATTATATTTACTAGAGGACATAATGCTGTGCATTGCGGAAAAGGACGTTTTATTTTAGACTGAATTTCATTCATTTCACCATTGTTCCGCTGATAGTGCACTATTCACATTATCTTTTGAGGGCAATGTACCAAAAAAAGCGATTTGTTCGTCCGTGGATGATTTGATAACGTACTTTAAAGCTGCAGAATCTATAGTGATAAGTATCGTGAAAATTCAAAAAAGTGATAGTGTAGTTATATTCATTCTCTTTACCAAGAAACAGATAACCTGAACAATTCCCGTAGAATACATCTCACTTTCTCTCTTCTACTCTTTCTCCTTCTCTCTTTAATACGTAAACGAGAAAATCTTATTTGAAAGGCTCAACAGATTGAGACGAAATTACATCTCATAAATTATTCACATTCTCGTCAACATGTCGGCGCTAATATAACTTATCTTAAAATCAATTTTCATGCTACGCCAAGTTCATAAACATTACAAACAAACCGAAGTGGAAGCTTTTAATGTAAATTGTTCCCGCGACCACCTTGTTAGTAATTATCAGTACTTATCTGGCCAATTTATGAGAGTTTGTATAGTAAATAAAATTTCCAGCACCAAAATCCCCAAATTTCCGTTCTAAAACAAAGTAGTGCATGTCATCAAACCTCTAGATCTTTTGTTATCTTGTTACATGTAATCGGGAACAGGTTTCGAAGCCCTCGCAAAACCGGGGTGAGTCTCTAACAAAAGATCTTTACAATGCACGTACGTAGACTTGTTTTTTTAAAGCATGAATAGAAGCAAGTATAATGCGGGCAGGTAACCCGATACTGAGGTACCCTTGTGGTACTCACCTACAACGTTCTACGTATGTGATACTGTAGCCAAGTTTAACTTTGCGGTCAGACTACTTCCGACCTAAGTAGGAACTTGTAGGACAAAGAAAAAAAGTATCTTAAAAATAAGATATAAATGCTTGTGTAAGTATGTGTATCTTAAGTTAATGTATTTTATTTAACTAACCTTAAAGGTTTTATTATTTGATTCTCAATTTCAATAGCGACTTAATAAAATGAGTCTTATAATTTGAACGATAAAGTATCTTATTGTTATTTAATGCAACGCAATAGAACGTTGTAGTCTGGACTCTATTAAAATAGTAAGCTCTACGAACGTGACCAAGAGCTGAAGAGATGAAAACAACGAATATCATTGATCTAAAATTCATTAATCGTATTGAAGTCGATGGGAACGTGACAGTTACAGGACATAGATCAATAAATTTACAGATAGTATCTTCACGGTAATATTATAAATGACTGTGTAAAGTAAGTGTGTAGTTTGTTATTTCTTCACGATGCAACGGCTCCAAGGCTTTGAGAGTTTGGAATGAAGGTTATTTTTCATCCCTTCACGACCGCGGACACGCCGGCGTGTCAGTTAACAATAGATTTCTTGGAATTTTAATTAATGTCTTAGAAATTTACCGGAGGTGTTAAGGTATTTTTTGTATAAATAGGGATTTTTTGTCGACTTGTCTACCACGCGAGAGGTGGGCAAGAACTAGTACTGAAGAAAACTTAACATAATTATACATATTATTCACATTGTGATCTAGTTACAGTTATAATTAAACACAAATATTGGAAATAAAAACGTTTTGAATTTGAAACAGATTTCCGAATATAAGTTACCTATTTATGTACTATGTAGGTATATGAGTAAAAATTGTAAATTTTAAAAGCTTTACTTAGTCAGCTTTTTAATACTAGTCAAGTACCCTCGCGTCACTCAGGTTTGTCCCTAGACACTAGGTGAACAGCCCTCCAATATCTTCATTTCAAGTTTCCCATTATTTTGTTTTGGAGGGAAAGAAGAACATACAAACAGACATATTGTTACCAACCGATACATAGCCAATGTTGTTCCAAGAATTTCTCTAAAGTAAAATCGAGGAAATAAATACATCAAAAAATAAACAGATAAAAAATAGACAAGAAACGTATTAAAAAATAGGTATTTCATGCTACGTTAAACTTAAGCATGTGTTGAAAATTATGCTCAATTAAGAATTAGGTTGTAAGCGTCGGAACGTACATACTTTAAATAAATTACATCCTAACCGTGACCAACAATAGCAGGGGAATAAAACAGAACACAATTTAAAACCTATTCTAATTAAAATGTCAGTGCCCGACCATGAACGTAAAACCCCGTAAAAACGTAGTCCTGCTTTACTTAAAATTAACTTTGTTTTTTAAAACATCCACCATTCCAAAGAGCTGTATCTTTTAATTTAATATAATTAAATTGTCCTTTCTACATGTTTTAAGATACAATCAACAAGCCGCAGGAAATTCAGTTACCAAGGATTTGCAAGAAAATAGGCGAAAACAAATAAAATGGCACAGAGAGCGTTTGATAATTACTTTGTGCTCGGGTAAGTTTTATATCTCACTTTTAGCAAACTAAGAAAAAATAATATTATTATTTTAGGTAATATTGTGTGACAATTGAGAAATATAATATAGGTATACTAGATTAACATTAATTTCTAATTTTAAATAAAAACTATTATATTTAAATACATTTACCATATACTATGTGATGTATCACAGAATAAAAAACAATAAATTACTAAAGAAAATTTATAAGTATTATTTCTTATTAACAAAAA